CCCCACTTTTATTCCGATCAACCTACGGTTAAGAGCTGCCAAATCGCTAGCATCAGTTCTGTAGACGGTCGCTAATTGCGACGTCACTGCTCTGCGGTCTTTGTTGCCCGCGACAGAGATATTTGCAGGCTTCAGGCTGAAACGAACGACTTCGAATCACTGAAGATGTTTTGAACATGCCACGGTACCTGAGTAGTCGCGCGACGATCGACACTGCTTCAGGGGTATCACGGTTTTCTTTGTACAACACAAACCGACAGTATTCACCTCGGTCTTTCGGCCAGAACTTCCGTTTCCTACTATTCGATCCTAAATACCACACTGTAACCGAAACACGACCCAATCCGAAGCAGCTTCTGAAAAAAAGGCATATTAAACAGCGCTAACACGGGCGTTACGTCAAGTGCTCAACTGGAACAAGTTGAATTTGACACATAACTTCGCGGAGTCGAATCTGATCGAGTATTTCATAATCTGCTGCATGGGAAAAGACGGCATAAATGTAAAACGATAACCAGCATCGAAAACGTTTCGTTTTGGATATAAACACGGACTAAAACTGTGGCTGTTCGCAATGCATATTTGTAACAATACGGTGACGATACTTCGACTTACTGGATGTCGGACTTCAACAGGTCAACAGTAACAATCAATGCTAGTTTCAATTTACGGCTCTTATTTAACATATATTTTATCATAAAATTTCTGTTGTGTAAAATCAACATTTATTTTCATTTTGGAGTATGACAACTGAAAAGCAACTAATCACCATAACCACGAAGCCCTAATTTTGTTGATTTTGAAAACTGAAAACCTACGAATTTGATTATCAAATTCTTACATGATTTCGACATAATGACCATTTAAAAGTAGTGAAGTTTAGTATAACAAGCATACAACTCAATAGTTTTATATTGAGAAAGTGGGTGATATGACGCTACTTTCGAGTCTCTTCGTGGAAAATTGCTGACAACAGTTACACACTGTAACAAGCCGTTATGTGGATCAAGGTGAACTGCGGGTGCATGCAGCAGACAGCATGACTGTATTAAAAGCTCTGGCATAGCAACGCCAGAACATCATATGCCCGTACTGTTCGAATGTGAACGACCCGCTAACCGTCTTTACGCTGGTTGGACGACGTACAGTGTCATAAATTATTTGCTTCGAAAGAATTAGCGCTTAGCAAAATTTTGCTCTGCGCAAGGGTTTGAACCCCATAATCTTAAAGTGCAAAGTCAAAGAACAACGCCATTACCCGCAGCTTAATTCCAACTGTTAGAGCTGTTGAATTCTGACATTTGGGCAGTCAAACTATTGTAAATGAAATATTAAAAATAACCTTCGTGAATAACTACAGAAACTAGTTCGACCTCTATGGGAATTAACATGGACATCATCATGAGCGATGCAAAGTCGAGTGAACTTCGTTGCGACAAACGGAAAGGCTTCTCTGGCAATGCCTTAAGGACAGATATGTGAAACGGTGTTGCGAATGACTTGCGTACGCCATGTGTTCTCGGACAAGTGTTAAGACGAAGCCCTAGGATGAATACTAATAGCAGTCCTGAAACACTTCCGTCGGGTATGTTCTTAAAGTATTCTTAACAGACACCTATTATTCTTACGGGTACCATGACATAAGTAAAATGTAAGATATAAGTAAAATCCAGATTAATTCTGTATTAACTAATCACTTTAGGGTTCAGACTCAAAATATAGCGTCGTGGATGCCGCAGCGGTCATAAAACATTGTCTCCTAAAAAGTTAGTCAGAATTTAATTCATAATTATGTCTAAAACTTCTCAAGGAGTGAACAAGTTCCATTATAGCGAAAAATAGGCGAACTTACGGTGACCTTTGTGAATCAAACGTTTAAAATATTATTTTCTTCATAAAATTGAAGGATGACATCAGCCACTCATCTATAAACAGATTCTTCACCATATTTAACTTGCTTCCAAACCACTTTGACTCTTCTCACCCATTCATTTATTGCATACTTGAAATAGGCTGTTATCACATTTTGCAGCTATCGCACTGATTCATCTGCACTTTCACAACGCCCTTAATTTATGGTTTATACAGCAAAATCAAGTCTCCTACATTTAGGCCAAAAGGCAACGCCTACAGTGTCATAAAAAGAACAGCCACTCTTCAAACGTACCTCTATTTCTGTTACAATTGGCCACTAGGTCATTGCCTGCCGCGTTCTGGTCCCCACGCGCGTAAAAATAGAAAAGCAGCAAAATCCCAGGAATTAAACCATCAAAATGTAAAATAAAAAAGCAACAAAAACGATGAACAAAAACAAAATGGTAGCAAGCCCAAAAATTCAATTTCGCAACAAATATTCAACTTTTTGATTCGCACGTTTTTCCTCATCACTCTCAACCATTATCGATGCTGTATACAAGACTTTACCATACACATCTGTTTCCGGTCATTTTCATCCTTCTTGATCCAGCGAACTGCATTAGCTCATCCTGTCACAGATTTGGAAATCTTCCTACAGGCCGTTTAATATCCGCTGGAAGCCAGTTTAAAGTCTCTCTGGTCCAGCGATAGCCGTTTCTTCTGGCAATGTGTCGAGGTCATTACCACTTTAACATCTTCACTATAACAATGATATCACATATTCCTGTTCATGCCCTTAACCATTCATTCTTGTTCTTCCAAACGTACATGCTTCCATACTGCGTTGCCTATTCTGCAATTTATTATCAGCTTTCAGGCAAAGAGCCCACGTTTCGCACCGATAGGTTAACACTGGGAGCACACATTAATCAGACATTCCGTTTCAAACACATAGTCAATAATTACTTAACATAATCGAATCTCCGTTGCAAAAATAGCCGTCCCAGACAAATTTTTGCACTTCTTCAAGTATAGTTCTTTGACTTCAACAGAGGGCGCGGTCATGTGTTTGTTCAATATGACCTGGGTGCTCTTCAGTTCATTTACTGTCCTAATTCCAATATTGTTGTTATTCATTTCTTGGATTTTTCTTTGAAGTAATTCTGATGTCCTTGAGAGGATCTGAATGTCATATGCACGTGGCTTAAGAAGTGCCATTTACGTTTAGCCCCTGATCTTCATAAAAGAGTGGCTTGAAAACCTCTAATATAGCTGTGGTGAAATACCAGTGACAGTACGTCTCCATGTCGCACGCTCTCTGCAAGTTTGAACCTGTTAGTGCTTTCTTAAAGCTACATATTAGCAGCTGTATTCTTGTAAATTGTGGCGGTAAGGCCTCTATATTTTCTCGATTTCTTGGCCTGTCAATAAATTCAGCACAGAAAAGATATAGACTGAGCCGAAAGCCTTCTCGAAGTCAACGAACCTCAGGCAAAGTGGAAACTGACATTTCTTGAATGTCTGAATTATCTGTCGCACAACCCAGAATGATTCATCGCACAAAATCAACTGTTTAATCCTGCATATTTGGCTAGAAAGCGTACAGGTTTTCTTGCAGATAACTGACAAGAAACTGATTGCCTAGTAGTTCTTTAATCCGCACTGTCTCCATTTTTCTGGAGAAGAATCACTGATGCGGTAGTTCCAATCGTATGTAATTTCTGTTTTTTCAAGCAGCGCGAAAACAAACGGACTAATGTTTTGATCAGTCCATTTTGCTAGATTCCACGAGTTCTTCTGTAATTCCGCTTTTGCGTTCATTAGGAACCATTCCTCGTTTCGACCGTTTTATAGCCTGCTTACCTCTGGAGAAATATCCGGAATTTCGTCAAGCAATTTTGCACCTTCAGGATCCTTACCGCCAACTATGGTATTACTGTTTTTATCTTTGTGAAACTGTCCATCTATTGAAACTTTTCGCTTCAGAATTTTTAGAAAGTCCCTGAAAATAGTCCGATCTTTCACTGTAAGAGCTGAAATTTGTCCTTTCTAAGTTGTCAGCATAACTTCATGCTTCGGTTATTTTCAATGGTTTGGTTTACAGATCTGCAGTTGTGAATGCTCGGACCTCTCCTACTCGTTTCCTCAAAGTTTTTCCGCTGTTTTAAACACTACAATACAAGTGCCCA